CCGGGAAAATCGTTAGGAAATTTAGAAGGACAGTTTGTGATTGGGAAGAATGTTTTCTAATCCAATGATATCATTTAATAGCTGATGAACATGGAATATCTCTTACGCTAAACTAAAGCCATCTCGGACAGTCTAGGCACGCTCATCTTGTTAGTTGGAATGGGTTAGGATCTGTGTCGTGGTTGAGATGTGAAATGGCCCCAAAAGCCTCATGTGTTTGGAAGGTGGCTGAATCACGGGGACTCAGAAGCTGACTCACTGGGTGGACAGGTCACGGGAGTATGACCTGGAGGTGTACCTCTCCCCCATCTCTTCTCATTGCTCTGTGCTTCCTGGCCACCATGCTGTGAGCAGCTGTCCTCCACTAGACCCTTCCTCCATTCCACTTGCACCTCAGAACCAGCTGACTGTGGATGGAAACCGTGAGCCAGAACCAATCTCTCCTGGACACTGCAGGGGTCAGGTTCCTTGTCTCAGTGACTGGGAAAGTGGCTAAGAGAATCTGGTACACGTACTGCAGAAGCTCAGTGTCTTAAGGAATATTTCTCACACATGCTACACGCCGGTCACAGCTGGATCATGAGCTTGGGAGCTGAGACCGATGAGGCCTCTGATATGTGGAGCATCACCGGACACGGTGGAAGGGAAAGGGCAAGTGTGACTAATCACACCTGGAACATAAAGCCTCCCACTGCAAAGGTCTCCTGTCCCTTCCACTCAATTCATGAGCCAAACGAGTCATTGGCCAAGCATCCAAGGAGGTAGGAACTACAGTCCTACTGTGCTCTTGGAAGGGGGAAAAATGGAATATTTTAAAATGGTCATAATGTCTGCAGATCCTTGCTACTCATGTAATCACTGCACGTTTTCATATATTTTCACTCTTAGATACCAGTAATGAACATGGAATACATAGAATACATTACCCAGGTGTGACTTTGCAGGCAGGGTGGGATGGCGTGTCAGATGTGTTGGCTCTGGGATTCATGCAGGGGATGGTGGATCACACTTCTGAGTGTGTCTGAGTGGGTTCCTGGGGGTGACCTTGGACGATGTATCTGGTCTCTCTCTCCCTGCTCTCTGGTGCTGTCCCCCGGCCCGCTTCCTGGTCCCCATGAATTTCTGCATGATGTTTCTGCTTTGGAGCCAGATGACCATAGACTGAGTCCTCAGAAATTGTGAGCTAAACTACACATCCCTTGCTTTGACTTGTGGGTGTCAGCAATGAGAAAGCTGATGAATGCATGGAACCATACCTTAAAAATAAGATGTTTTGAGAATGAGGTAATACAAAACACATTCCAGAAAAGCATCATGATGGAGTGGCTGAAGAGTTTCTTTCACCCTAGAGACTATGCTGCCCTCTGGCTGAGTCAGTAAGAACTAAGATGTTGAAAGAGAAATGATGCTAGGACTGGAGGAAAAGACTAGTTTGTATGTAACGAAATATTGACAAATAAGAGCTGGAGGAGGAAAAATGAGAACATTCCCCTTGCACCAACCCATGCACCCTTCTGGAGTGCTAAGGGAGTCATCTCGGTCCGTATTCTCCAGGGCACTGGTTGACCAGATCCCAGCTGTTTCCGACTAGGCTCCACTGAAGCCACGGTTCGGCTTAGGTCTGCTCTGCTTCCTCATCCTGGGTCAGCACCAGGGCGCACTTCCTCGGCGGGAGGCTGGGCTGGGCTGCATCAGGCCTTCCAGGTCCTCGCTGACACGGGGTCTGAAACCCTATGAAGGGGAACTGGAGAAGTGGGGAGGGGTGAGAAAATAAAGAACCAGGCTGTGCTATGTTCCTGTACCTACCCCCAAGGGTGTGAACGGCGCGTATTAATAAAAAATGATTTAACATTTTTGTATATAAAATCCTGTAGGTGAAGGCAAGTCACAGGGCCAAGCCCAGCGTAGACAAGGTGGGCAGGGAGAATATTCGTCTCTGTGGGGGAGGACGGGGTGGGGCTGACTCTTTGGGAATAATCCGGTGACGTGTACACACAAACATCCAACAGGCAAGACACTTCCCACAGTTTCCACGTGTCCAGTATATTCAGGTACAGAGCTGCCCAGTCTGGACCAGCTGAGTTTAAAACTCTAACGTTCTGGACTCAGTTTCCTGCTCAGGTCCATTCTTCCCTGCCCAACTCCAGCTGGACTGCAGAGAATCTGTTCCTCCTCTTCCTCTCTCCATCTTCCTTCCTTCCTTCCCTCCTTCCCTCCCCTCTCTTTCAATATGCTGGCCTGAATAGACTCATTCTTACTTTTTGTTTTTAGCGGTCCACGCTTGCGGTACACCATGGTCACATTCGTCTTAGAGAATCAGTGCAGGTACACCTCACATTTTCGTCCCCGTCCCCTACCTTCCCTCACCCCTCTCTCCATCTCTCAGTCTCCTTCCCCTTCGCAAAAGGTCCATCTTCCTATGTCCTACATCCACCTTTTATTTCTCTATGTATTCGTATTTTGGTTTTCTCCTATAAGAGAAACCATGTGATTTGAAGCTTTTGTGTATTAGGCTCTCAAGGTGCACCCATTTTCCTACAGATGATGCATATTCATCCTTCTTTACAGCAGAGTAGTACTCCATTGCATATGCATACCACATTTTCTTTACCCATTCCTCTGATGATGGACACATAGACTGCTTCCAAGATTTAGCTATTCTGAGTTATGCTGCTAAAAACATGGGTCCCTGCAATGTGATGTCTTTACCTCTTTCAGGAAGACAGCCACAAGGTAGAATAGCTGGATAATGATTTTCTAACTGGAGAGTCTCCCCTCTTCACGCCCTTGAATCCCCCCAGCCCTACTGCTGATCATCTACACCACAGTTTCCTGATTCTCTTCACATCTCCCAGGGATCCAGCCTCTTGGGTGTATTTCCAGCAAGACATTTCCTGCTTAACTCCCTTTTGCAGTTTGCCCTTTGAGATCTTCCCATTCCTTCTTCAGGCCTCACACTGCTGCCCCTTCCCTGAATCCCTATCTCTGTCCAAACCCTTGCCCTGCTCACGCGGGCGCCACAGGCAGGCGGCCTGAGCGCGAGGCAGGCTGGGGCAGTGAGCCGGGGACGTCGCGTGGCTCTCCGACTCCCCGCCTGACCAGAGACTGTGCTGGGGCCTTGTTCTCAACCCACCGGAAGCTGGGTGAAGGGTGCCCCGCTCCCTACTGAGGCTTAGACTCCACCCTCGTCGAGTCTCTCACTTTCACTTTCCTGAGGCTGGAGGCCTGGGAGGGGTGGGAGGAAGATGCCCAGCAGCCAGGACCCCTTGGAGTTGGAAGAGCTGAGCTGGTTCAGCTGCTTCATTTCGAAGCTGTGGACGGACTCGGCCCTGCTTAGTATTTTGCTCTTTTAAAAATGTGGGGTATTTATTGCATTTTTATTATTAGCGTGGAATCCCTCTAGTCTACTGAAAGGAAACATGAAATGTTTGTTAGCATTTCTGTTACTGTGTTGCTTGAGGTCCTGTCCCAGCTCAGAAGATGAGCTCTCATACTGTGCAAAAGAATGGCAGCCTAGGGACAAGCAGCCACACTAAGAGGCACCTTCATCTCTCGCCTTCACAGTCTGGCTCTCTGGAATCCTGTGCCTGGTGGGGCAGAGCAGGATGAGTAACGGGAACCCCACTGATACAGGCAGTGGCACCAACCACAGCCATCCCAGCAGGCACACCCTCACAAAAGGAAAGCTAGCAGTCACGGTTCTTCTTGACCTGTTGTGCATAGCATGACGGACCCTCAGCTAACACCAGGTTGCTTCTCAGATGAAGAGGAATTTAGGTACCAGAGTCGGAGAGATCTGGCTTGGAACCCTACTTCTACTACTTCCTGGGCCTGTGGCCCCAGAAAGCGTAAACTCTCTAAATCCGGTATCTTCATCTGAAAATGGCATTCTCATAACTACACGCCACATAGCCTCATTGTAGGTGAGTGATAGAATCTATATAGAGCTATTAATATACAGCAGGCCCTTAATAAATAGCTGTTCTTCTTTGGAGAAAGCTTGGACGAAGCTAACCAAGTCCACGTGATGAATGCAGGATGTCTGCCTGGGGAATATTTGCCAAAGCCCACTAATAACTTGGCTCCCCTCTGCAGAAAACTTAATTTTGTTTGAATAGCCTTGTCCTTTTACAAGCGATGGTTCTGAAGAATCCGGTAATCCCGCTGGCTGCTATTGAATGTGTTGGTCTCTAATGACTGTCTGATTAAATCATAAAACAGTAAAAAAAAGTGCAATAGTTTGTGGCGCGAATGCACACTTGTTTAAGGATCGTGACTGTTTCCATGTTTCATTATTTCTCTGCACTCACTCCAGTGGCTGCCCCTACACCAGTCCAGCCCTGTCCCACAGAGAGGGTGGCCCACTCTCTGGGCAGTGCATGTGTTTACCTGGCAGTCAGGAAGCCCTGCACACAGCTCTGTTTGGAGTGTACTTTTTGTCTTTCAGCGAAGCCCAGGCGTTAGTCTGGGGAACACACACTCCCCGCCTCGGGGGACTTGCTGCTCCTGACCTGCTTACCAGATGTCCCAAAGGCACTTTGACCTTTGGCATTTGTCTTTCGGGGTGCATCCTGTTACATCACAGAGTGTGGCCTGTGGAGCCCGGGATGGAACTCACTAGCTGTGCACTGGCGTGGGCCCAGTGCTCCCTGCAACGCTGTCAACTTTCCTCCAAGTATGCATGTGCACATAAGGACCAAGTTCTCTCTGAGGAACTGAGTGCGAATCCTGAGGATCATTCCAAGACTGGCCGGTACAACTCTCCCTGGCAAGAGCTCCATGCTCTTCTGCACCCAGTGATGAGGATCCAGGGGAAGGGAGTGGAACCCCAGGGTAGGACGTGGGTCCTCAGGAGACCCACCATGACTCACACAGCACTGCTCTTTGCTTTCAGGTAAACGAGGAGTGATTGTCTATTGTGATAACCACTCAAAGTTTGGGGCGGTTATCGTAGCCCAGCTTAATCAGAGCAGGTATCCAGGCGTAGGGCAGAGCTTGGTGTTTATTTCTCATTTGATGCTTGCTTGGTATGAAGCTAATTAATAGCCTCTCTGAGCTTGTTATTTCATGGGGAATGGGGATATTTGTTGGCTGTGTGTTCTGTGGTCTTTCATGTGATGTCTGTCGGGTGTGGCAGGAGACACAGCAGAGGCTCAGGAAGACCGAGTTTATTACACACACAGGTCCTAGAAATGACAAGGAGGGAGGGAGGGAGGGGAAAGCTTGGGCCAGGTCCTTCCCTGGAATTTCTGTGGGCAAGGCAAGCAGGGCAGATAAACATGGTAGGACTGGCTGGCTGCTATACTATTGTGGTGGGGTCTAATTGAAAGGATTTGCCTGGTGCCTGACCCTGAGTGATGAAGGTGAGGAATTTTATCTAGAGGAGTCTGGGCTAGATGGAGGCGGTGCTCTGGGTCAGCATGTCTGTCAGAGATGCCCAGCTGAGCCCTTTGATATCTCTAAGACTTGGCTAGTCACACGAAGGGCAGTCTCTTCTTATACTTCACAAATTATTATTGGGACTTTAGGTCAGGTATGTGAGTCACCTAAGTTAAAGCTGTAAAGCCAATTTCTCTTTTGAAATCAGGAGTATAAAATTAGATTAATTATACTGTTTAGTTATAAGGTATCCGTCTATACTAGTCAATTTCTGACTGCCTGGACTAAATACCTGGCTCCCACAACTTAAAGGAGAAGAGGTTTAATTTGGCTTACAGTTTCAGGGGACTCAGTCCATGGTCAGCTGTCTCCAAGGCAGGAACAACATGGTAGAAGGGTGTGGTGAAGGAAAGCTCCTCCCCTCGTAGGAATCAGGAAACAGAGAGAGAGAGAAGAGAGAAGCTCAGGGAAAGAGTAAACCCTTCCAGGTCACACTCAGGCCCCAGCTCCAACCAGGCCCCACCTCCTCGAGCCAATTTAGCTCTGAACTCATTAACGGATGAGTGTAAATGTCCCCATGATCCCCATGATTCCAACTCTGAACCAGAAACCTTTTGGGGAATATTTTAGATCCAAATTATAACATTTCCTCCCAGCATTATCAGCTATCTCACCTGTTTTTATTGCGTGTCTGTCTTTATTTATTTCAACAGCGCCACAATCACTCGTGGACTCAGCGCCCAGCGTAAAAGATGGACTATTTCTTGGAAGTGCCCTCTGCCCATTCAGTCATGGGATGGGTCCGTTACTTAGCAGAGCCAGAAGTTTGGCAACCAAGGGAGACCCTGGCTTTAATCGGCGTGATCCAGATCATTCCAGCACCCAGTGATGTCGTGAGCCCAGTGAAAAATAGTGCCGCGATAGTAGAACTGTGAGTGCACCTCCCTGGATGGCGGATTCTCTTCACTGAGAGCGAGGCTGTCGCTCCCTTGCGGGACGGAGAAGGGAGGGGAGGTCCCAGATGTAGCAGCGGCAGCAGCAGCTCTCCCATGGTGCCCCTGGCAGCAGGGTCCAACCCCTGACACGCATTGTCTGCGTTTCCGGAGGTGCGGAAGTCAGGCCGCCATGGTCTCGGACGGTGGCTCACGAGGACCAAGTTCCTAAGCGACTGGACGAAGGTGGTCTCCTCAGAGTTTGGCATAGGTTAATGCAATTTCCCGGAGTCGGCAGCTCCGATGGCGTTGGTGAGATTCCCTCTTGGTCCTTTTCTCCTGCACCCTCCCCAACAACTTGTTATGGGGCATTATTAGCTTTCCGTTATTTTTGCTGATATCTATTGAAACTTGCTATTTCTTTGCGTTTGTGGGCCATATGTGTTTTTATTACCTGGAAATACTTGTTCATGCCTTTTAACTATTTTATTGTGTTTTTATTCTTTCCTTATGATTTCTAAGTAGTTTTAAAATTTGATTGCTTACATGCATGGAAATATTTTTCCCAATTAATTTCATGTATTTTCACTTTATTGTTTTCTGATTAGCAAGTGGTTTTGATTTTAATATAATAAATTCATTGACTTTTTTGTACTTCATGTGTACATTTTGTGTTTTGAGAAATCCTATTTCCTAAGGTCAGAAATGAGTTCGCCCATATCTTACACTAAAATATTTACTCCTGACTTTTGGTATTTGAATTTTCTAATTTTTGTGAGGCAGGTGGAGACCCAATTTTAGTTGCCTCTCACCTTCCTCAGTGGGGTTTCATCAGGCAGCCAAGGGTCACTGGAGAAAGTGGGAACAGGTGGCCACCGTGCACCTCATCCACCACGGTGGCCCTTCAGGACCGTGTGGCCTGGTGCCTCCGAGCTCGTGTATGCCTACTTTGTGACGTCCACACACGATGCCATCAGCCCGTGGTGCTCCTGACCACACGGTGCCCTGTGGCTGAGTGATGGGTGCTCATGGAGGTCTGAGTGTTTGGCAAGGTTGGGAAGGGCACGCCTGGTCCGGATGGAAACACGGCCGAGAGGCTATGGGCACCGACCCTGTCGGTGTCCCAGTGGAAGCGTGGGTCTGTGTTCTTCCCTGATGAAATCTGGGTCTGCTGCTGCTAGCACTAACTTGGGGTTCCTAATAGCAGCTATTCCTAGGGTTAGGTTAAAAATACTACCCCACAGAGTTAGCGTAGCCACATTTTGTTCAACTTCTGAGCCTTCGTTTTACTCAGTCAGCTGCTTAAGAGGAAGAGTTTCCTGGCAACACAGTTGCAGCCTCTGATTTTTGCCTAACAGTTTTGCACAACTGCCAAATAGCATTTGTCTAAGTTTGGATGAAAGAGGTACCATAGAAACCCTGTAACATAGCAAGAGAGCAGATTCAGAAGGAGAAATCCCAACCCACACTTATCGGCAGCTGCTATTTAGTGTGCGTTCCTCCATTTGATTCTGGAAAGCAGTGCTGTGCTTGATTCGGTCTGTGACTACATCAGGACCCATGCCAACTATGCCCCTGTACACGCAGGCAGCTGGCTTTGGACATGCCACTTGTGGTTATTTGCCAGACTCCTCCTAACACAGCGACGCATCATTTTAAAATAAGAAGCCAATGAAATTTTATCTGTCAGGAACCCAGACTCTCATCTTGTGACCCTGATTTTCTGAACGGTCTCGAAATACACCAGCTTTGCTGATGCTGTGCATCTGAGGAAGGAAGGATTCATTTCAATTGTTTGACTCAGCTGTAGTTGCTGAGTACTTAACACACAGTAGTTCAGTTATACAAACCTTACTGTGCACTTTTGTGCACAATGCCTGAGCTGGGGGAGATGAGGAAAATTTGTTTTTACATCTACTTGAGGAGACAAAAATATTCTTGGCAACAAGTAGTAGATAGTCCCCTGGCTACATGAGGCAGGTTGATTCAATGGCAAGATGTGAGGGGCTCAGAAAAAGAGTAGGAAGAACAACTTTAGGAATGAGAGCAGTGAAGGGAAAATCTATATATGTATGTATGTATATATATGTATGTATGTATCTATCATCTATCTATCTGTCTGTCTATCACATACCATCTAACTAAGTTACACACACACACACACACACACACACACATCCTGGAACCCAAAATTCAGGAAGTGGAATCTTGGCTTGGGGTTGTGCACCTTGCACATGTCTGTAGTCTCAGATCCAAGAGCAAAAGCTTCTAAACAGGGCAGAGAGTACTATCATTTAAGGATAAATATTTGAATGATTTCCTCAAGCTCTGGAGTGCTGGCTCAAAGACTCAAAGGTCCAAATTAGGGCTGGGGATTTAGCTTAGTGGTGTAGCCGTCTGCCTCACAAGCGCAAGGACCCGTGTTCAACCCCTGCAAGAAGAAGAAGAGGAAGATGAAGAAGAAGAAGATGAAGCAGCAGCAGCAAAGCTTCAAATTAATCCAGAATTCATGCTGATTTGTTAATTTCAGTCTTGCTATCTCGCTGTGTACTAAGGGATCACATTAGAATTCACCTCAGAGTTTTGTGACCATGAGTTTCCATTCCTTTCATGGCATTGCCTTGTCTATATTTCTATTAAAATAGCCCAAGTTAAGCTTTAAGAAAATCCAAACAGTAATTTAGAGAACAATGTAAGAACCGAAGCTCTGACGTAGCACACCTATGTGTGAGTGTGTGTGTGTGTGTGTGTGGACACGTGAGTTGGATACATATTAAAATTTTATGGAAAACATAAACACAAGAGAACACTGACAACAGGGAAGTGGAATTGTCCCCCGTTATTCCCTGTTTCCTGTTTATTGTTTTTGCCCTTTGATCCCCATTTCCTTACCTTCACTGTTTGGCTGCTTGCCTGGGAAATCAGTGCCTGCCTGGGAAGAGCATGGCGGGTGTTGGGGTGCTCAGCTTCAGACTGTTCTGCTTCCTCTTCCCAGTAGAACACAGACCTTTTCCTCTGGCTCCGTCCTTTGAGAAACTCTTTTCATTAAGAAATTCCCAGTGCAGTTTGTGCTGAACAAATGCAAAATACTCAGAACATTGTAGAGTTTTTCCCTTTATTCTAGTCCAAAAGCCAACAGAGGGCAGACTCTATATTTTTTCTTTGTCTTGAGCAAGGTTTAGAAAATGTTCTGACAGCTCAGGGGATTTGTTATCTAGTTAAGTGGGTGATTAGTAGCTTGATCCCCAGCAGGTTGTTCTAAAAACATTTCTCAAAGTAATCGTGTGTTGCCACACCAGAAGTTCAAAGTGGTAAAGCCACTTCGGAGAGAAGGGTTGAATGAACGGCAGAAAGACAAGTTCACTCTGGACGTAATGTGTGCCCCTCCCTGACCTTCCCAGCGTCCAGTCCTCTTGCTGGTGGCAGCATCTGTTCTCCACTGAGCACGTCTGTGATGGTCACCCCTCTCTGTCCAGCCACTTCATCCACTAGCGCTGAACACCAGCGTGTTGCCAGGCGTTGCTCCAGATACAGAGGGCACCACAGCAGACAGCTGCTCACAGGAGGGAAGGAAATAAAGTGACTGCAGGTAGTATTGAGTGCTATAAAGAAAATGAAGCAGGCTAATGATGTAGAAAGAGATCTACGGTCAAAATCTGCTGCATACAAATGAGCCCCATATTTTGGGGTTTGGTGACAATCTGAATTTCCCGCCTTTCCTTGGGGTGATGCTTCCTCCTGCTGCACTTTGTGAAGACTGAGGTCATGCACGCAGCAGAACTTTGTGAACTTTGTGAGCTCCGGCATGGCCTGGGTGGCCTCTGCCCCTCCTGGGCCCTGCTGTGTGGGGGCTCCGGCCCCGAATCCCAACCACCTTGGTGTCCAGCAGCCAGCGGGCAAATGTGGGCATTGCCAGGCATGTGAAGTCCAGGCTCAGAATTGCTACAGTGCCCCTCTGTGGCGGTCCAGCTGTCACAACACGAACATGCCTGGGTCTGGGAGTGAGGATTGAGAAAGGAAAGAACACTCAAGCCTGAGCGGAGACGAAAAGAAGTCTGGTTTATTTCGCAATAACAGCTCCTTTTATAGGTTCACAGCAATAGGAAGCTTTTAAGGGCACACAACAACAAAAAACACCAAGTCATTGTTTTTCAAAGACCGGATTTCCTGACTCTTACAGATAACATCAGTTCTTCAGCTAACGAGCTTCCTGTTATGTCAGGGTGATTTCCTGACTCTTACAGATAACATCAGATCTTCGGCTAATGAGTTTCCTGTTATGTCAGGGTCAAAGAGTCAAAACAAATTTAACAAACAGTTTCCTTGAAGAGTAGCAAATGTTGATTCCTTAATTATACAAGAAGAATTTATTTTCCAAATGTCAAACTCCAGTGGGCCATGACTGGGCCCCGACACCCCTCCCACTTCACTCTATGATCAAAGCAAGTGTCCAGCTCCCTGGATTCGAGGGCAGGAAGAGTAGACGCCATCCCCACAGACGAAGCAAGGAAACCTTTCTGACTACCTTCAGTTTATTACAGCATGGATGTAGGTAGCTGGAGGACCCTTTCACAGGCATTGAGCTCTAAGGAAGCAAGAATGAGATCTGTTCCTCCTCGCCAGAATCTACAACTGATACCAGAAATAAATGACTCTGTCAGTAATGTCAGGAAAAGATGAAGAGAGCAAATACTTGGTCACATAGTACCTGCTCTTCACCTAGTGAGCATGGAAGGCTTTGCTAGTGGACACAGGGTTCTTCTTCAAGAACCCTCCTAAGACCTCAGGGCTCTGCTGGAGAGGACGTTTCAGGTAGCTTGTAATAAAGCTGTCATGTATTATGTCACCATGGGAAGAAACCCCCAGGACAGTTTCAGGGAGGTCAGACGAGCTGGGCGTGGATGGCTGTGTAGGATTCAGAAAAGCAGAGGAAAGGAACCAAGGCTTTTACTGGTCTGTGTTCTTTCTTTAGA